AAAGCTTGTAGTAACTACGGATTCTGGATTGGTCTACATGATGCTAGTGATCCAAAAACATCCAGACATAAAATGCAACCTGAAAAGTTTTCGTGGGTGCACGAACAGTGCCACGATTTCCAAGCCTGGGAAAAGAATGAACCCAATGATAATAATAAACAGGACAGTAATGGACAGAATTGCGTTCAGTTGTGGTAAGTACAGCCGTTGAACAATTGCTATACATACAATTATGGAAGTCAAAAAATAATGTCAGGAAATTTACATCATAAAAAAATTGCTTTAACTGCTCAATTGTTTCCTACACTATTACGTATCTCAACTCCAACGGTGTATTATATTTAAATCAAGCAACCCATTCTATCCACTCAATTGGTCGTAAGATTATGTACATTCAATGATAATTGTTAACTCGTATTTAAAAAATTGTTTTTCGTGTATTAGGTACAGACCATCGAAAAAAGGTAACTTTGATGATGAATACTGTGGTGAACCGAAGGGATACGTCTGTCAGTTTGAAGAAGGTAAGCAAGCAATGATACTCATAGCCTAAGAAGTCAAACGCATTACACTTTGTCATTTCATTGCATTTTGCAGTTACATTCAATAACAATCGTTCTTTCGAGATCTCGCAGTAATTATTTGAGATGTACTGGTGGTACTACCTAATGGAAAGGCATACACTTTGCGTCAATAATATTGTGTTGAACATAGGCAAATGCTGGTAGCAGCCTTGAAATGATTTGTACTACACTGACATCACCGCGACTTTTTTTGTATTGCAGAATGTCCATGTATTAATCAAGCCGTGGAGTAAGACGTAATTGGTGATAAGTCGGAACAAGCCAAACACATTCGCTGTATTCACCAAGCCAATAGTGAGAATGTTAGAAAAAAATGAAATATGGCGTCTTGCCAATATATGATGCATAATTATAAGTTTATATCTTAGAAATGAAAGTACGATTCTGTATCACAACATCAATGTAATGTTACAAATATTTTGGGTTGCTTTGAATAAGAATAAAACAGATTAGACCGTGGATATTGGTAACTTAGTTCTGTATACATATATTTATACTTCTTTCATTTTTGCTTCCATCAACTCGAAAGCTGACAGAAATATGGGGTGTGTGTATATGCGTCAAATATTATATAGATGAGATAATTAAATGGCACACATATAATTCTGAGATGAAGGCTGGTATATTGATTGACACCTAAAATATCATTATATTATAGCATTGTCAATACCAGCGCATTTTATGACGTCATTGCCACAGATTATTCGCGATAATGTATTGCATTATTGAGAATCAATCCCCCATACCATGCACAGGAATAGAATGCTGAGCTCGGAAAACAAATAAATAGACGGGCAATCATTAATAAGAGATATTATGGGGTATAAACAATTAAAATAACTCTGAGCTATATAAAAAATAATTATGTGTTCCTAGTTTACATGAAAAATGTCATTCACGCCATAGTGACAAACACAAATCGTCGTCAGGCCAATCCCAACTTCGCGAGAAACACCCGGTACCGACCACAGGGTGGCGCTTGTCACGTTTCTTAATCAGTTGAGATTATATACGTACACGCATATAATGAATATAGTCTATATATATTATTATATGATTATATTATCATATAATCTCGTTTTTAAACATACAGATAACTGATTAAGAAACGTTACAAGCGCCTGTGGTACCGATGTCCAACGCGTAAATAAACGTAGCTCACCAAAGGCAAAAACAATGACCCGCTTTATCGATGACGACGAATCACAGTTAAATGGACTCGAAAATGCAAGAAATTAAAAAAAAATACTTCAAAGCTGACTAAATGGGGATTAAGTGTTACGCCAGCAATTTTGAAGACCTTCCTGTCGTTGAGCTCGCCTTCTTGCTGCGGGTATTTTACGCTTCAAGCAAGATGGGGTGTAGTACAGCAAGCCGTCGCTGTCTGGATTACGAGTTTCAATCCATCTACACATCACCCCCCCCCTCCCGATCATCGCACAATTAACATAATGTAGGACGGGTAGTTCCAATTTGTCTATTTTTTTTGTATACGTGTTATGTTGAAATGACCGCTGCCCGGCCGCTGCACACTGTGTATGTGAATGGGAATCGTTGCGTAATCGCGTTGACGATATATATAGTATAGAGATTAGAAGACCTTATAATGTAGACGCGATTGTGTTGAATGTTTTTGGTCGTTTCTTCCGAATTATCTTACTTTTAACGTCTGAAAATTGACTGGCATTGCCAATGCAACAAAATAATAACTCAAGCACACTTTGCACTCCATATGTCGTACAAAGTGTGCTTTAGTTCATTATGAGCCACCGGGGAGTATATTATTGATCACCTCCCTTAAGCAGTACGAATATATGCTATATACGTAACTGAACATGCCGCGCAGCTCATGGTGGTGGTAAACTCACTTGTATTGTTACCCGAATAACCGTGTTGAAACAATGTACACAGGAATGTTATGTATTTTACTTACACAAGTTGTTTGAAGTTAAAATGCGCTTCTATTATTGAAACACTGCCCCCCCCCCCCAACGATCACAACAGGGCAATGCTCACTGTTATTGGACGAACATGTGTTTATGATAATTAAGGATGCATTATTGACGGGAACATATGTTTTCAGTATTATTATTCGATACTCAATACTGTAGACCAAAACGGACTACGGTTTATCAAATACGTTACTTTGGCAGTATCCGCGCAGCTTCGAGGATCTCCAAGAAGCTTCATTGTCCTCCGGGGTGCTCCCCGCATTTCAGAGGAGCTCTGCGTGTTATACAAATTTAAGCAAGGATATTTATATGCTGAAATTTCGATGTGGCTCCTCGTTTTCGCCAGCAGACTGGAAACAAAATTTAGAAATCGGTTTAACTTCAAAATACATCAATTGCAGTATAAAAATAAAATAACTTAAACGTAAATACATTTAAATGTTTATATATTTTTGTTCATTTTAGCAAGGTTTTTGCTGACTTATTTCTCGAGTAAATAGACGATTTAACACAATTACTGGTCGTATATATTTGCAGTGTCACGTTGCTAGCACTATACTATAAAAACAATGTTTTCCTAATAATAAAGAGAATTGCACTGAAATAAAACTCGTACTTCGCCGACAAAACGGAACTATGCGTCCCTGCAAATTCTGAACCTGAATTTCAAATACGTGTCAGCCGCTTTCCCCCAAGTCACGCAACAATACTGTCTCCATGCGTAAATTTCACAAACTTACGGGCCGTAAATATTTGCTGTGTCACATCATCATTGCATTGTTGACGTAAAACATCGGATTACTCGCGTTATAATATCTTTCTCTGATTTGAATAAAAACAATTATTTACCAATAAAAACGAACTTTAGCGTATGGCATTGAAATAAAAACTCATACGCCGTAATTCATAACACTGTGACTATGATACTTTAATAAAACGATGGATCGGCAGTACACAGTTTCCAATGAAAAATACCATTACGTCAGTATTTTACAAATATTAACAGTTATAATTATAGTAACAATGGAATTAAATAACGCCGTTATTCATAACTTCGAGACTATGCAACTTTGGATCTGTGGTACACAGTTTCCTGAGTAATTTTCCGTCAAACCATCGAGATCAAACTCCGTGAATATAATTAAAACGATTTTGTTGACTTGGATATACTGACACTAAATACAAATCTCGGTCCCATGTGCTTTGAACGAATTTCTATTAATTTTAGTTGAATCTGTTCGTATTGTAACAGAAAACAGGTCGTTCCCGGGTGACCTCATTGAAAGCCAAATAGTGAAGTCGACGAGCTCCGAAGAGAACATGGTACCTTCCAAGCCAATGGTATTCACACAGTATCTGCGTATTTCGGAGAAATATTTGTACTGCATGCTCCTCAATAAAAACTAGACTATTTTTTTTAGGCGAAGCAAAATGATTGTGATGAGTTTCTAAAAATTAATAGCAAATAAACTCACAATATTAAATGTTGAAGTTAGGTATGTAGAATAGGAGGTTATTACGAGGATGTCGTAAAGTATGCACGAACACAGTACAGCGGGAGTATCGACCGATGCGCAGCGGAGGTCGATGCGACGGCATACTGTCTGAGTGCATATTTTGCGATATTCTCGTAATTATCTTATTATTATACATATTTTCCTTCCAATAATACATCATGGGAATGCCGAAATCCAAAGGGTTTAGAACAGAATCAGCGAACTCCTTTGTGTGGAGTCTGGTCAAACCATGTTTGTTTTTATTACACGCGTAATCATTCTATATTTGGAATTCGCATTTCCAATTACCCTGTAAAATACCACAAAATTACGGCACGCTGAAACTTATGGTGTCACGGTGACAGATGTATAATAATGAGATGTAATGTATTCGAGTATTTGTTCTCAAGTTACGAATAGGAATACGAAAGTTAATTGATTAATTTGTGCGATAATTCTTTTTGTCGATACATTTCATTTTGTTATGAATTTAAATGTCATAATCAAATCTTGTCACCATTTACAAAATAATGCTTATTTTCCCCCAAACCTGTTGCCAATGAAAAATGATGTCCATACTACCCACAATTTATATGAATTCATTAATAGATACTGCAAGAGTACTGTTGAAACGAATGCGACGATCAAAGTTAGAAAGCGTTATTGTTCACTACAAGATTGTTTTTATACAACTACAATCTTGTAAAGCAAATGAAACGAATGGTTACTTGACAGTGGTCGTGAAAAATATGTTTTTGAATGTGGCAACTACTGTACTGCACTACTACTTAGTAATTAAAATCTCTTTAAATTCCTCTTTAAGAGAGAACAATACATTGAAAATAATATTCTGAATCCCGGAAATGACGACATTGGTGAATATGGCCTTGAAATTGACTAATGATTGATGAGGAGGTGAATAAGCAACGCCCAAACATTCGCAGTATTGTATTGGTGTTGCATATCTGTTTTATTAAAAGAAAGGCCATCAGAGAGCCGAAATACTCATATCACTGGTAAAACCTCTCAGCTGTAGTTCAATTCGGTAAGTTCTATACTTTATGTGTCTATGTTACACGTGAGTACCTACTCCTGCGGTAACGTGCAATAGTAAGTTTTCGAAGTGAACACCGAGTGGATTTCGTTATGTTTTTTTTTTTTATTTTATTTATTTATTTGTTGTTGTTTTTTGCCAATAAATACATTTACTGGGATATCACATTCCAACTGCCTTGAGATTTGAGACTAACATCACTCAACTTTAATCCGTTACAGCGCCGGCACGTTGGATTAAAATAAAAGTTTACTTCAGCCAAAATGAACAGAAGACTTGTGTTTATACATCGAATGGCGTCAGATTAATCTCAAACGTATATACATTTCTCGGCAACTGTGTACAGACTGTAGTCAGTCGTGAATCACATTGTAATTCATCAAATTGTTGCTGATATACTTACTAACTAAATTATGAAATTGCACATTCCATCGTTCTATGTACGTGATATGATTATTTCATAGGCACCAAAACAACAACAAAAACAAATTATACAACTTTGTCGTATTAATTATTCACATATTTTATCTTCTTTCAGAAATCAAAATCAACCAGCACAACAGTATGCTGCTATTTGTTACTTTTCTCGTCTTTGCCGGCGCCACATATGCTGAACATCCCTCCGGAAATCCCAAACGTGAGACTTGCCACATTTTTCTTATTGTTATTTTATTTAATAACATGGTTAGGCTGAATCTAGCCCTTTGATTGGCTGAAGCAATGTATTATTATCTGACACTAGAAGACGTGTAATGCCGTCTGTCTGTTGAATATTAAGTTGGCTTAAATATCTGACTGAATCGAGACCACACTGACCAACTGACCAAAACAGGGAAACCTGGTATAAGTACTAACACCAACTATTATTTCCAAAAAGTCATTATAATGCGCATTTAGTGAGAGTCCTTTCTGTAAGGAACTTGCAATTTCATTGCAGCTTAACGTTCGAACAGAAGACG